CATTTTAAAGATTTTTAATTTTTTTTTTTGAATAGCTAAATATAGTATATAAAGTATAGAAAAAAAATGGAAATTTAAGGTTTTGAAATAATATCATGGATGCTATTTTGTAGGAATTATTCAAAGATGTTTCCTAAAACTCCATTAATCTTACTATGTTAATACGTACTATGTACCCAATTAACCTTCCGTGTACGGTTGATCCCGTTTACGGAATACCTCCTTTTATTTTGTAAACTGCTCGTTCGATTTTCATGAACCTTACTAGTTTATGGGATAATAATTTGATAATGCTTTATTAGAATCTAAGATTACAAATAAGTGTGTTTAAAACGGTGGATCCAATATTTTTTAAATTAAATTTAATTATCACATACATAAAACGTGGTTTTAGGAAATTTTTAATTGTGAAATATATATGTGTGTGTGTATTTTATATATATATATATATATATAAAACATTAAATTTTCCAATTTCACTTTATTTGAAGCTCATCAGTGCTACGCAAATTGTTAGTATTAATTTCCAAATTGACTTCCAAACTCTGATTGTGAACTTTGTGACATTAAATCCTCCTGCGTTGGAGATTACCCTTTTGAAATTCGATATTTTCAGATTACATTCAAACTCATTGTCAGTGATATTAAAAACTTCCTTTGAAGCTTAGTTTCACGGTAATAAGGTTATTTTTTTTTATTGAAATTTTAAAAGGCCAAAACTGAACTCTGCCACGACGTCTTCTTTAAGTTTTTTTTGTTAGAAAGTTCCCATCACACAAAAGGGTTAAAAAGGGTTGTAAATCATTGAAATCCGTCGAAATTGTTAAAAAAAATTCTCATGGACAAATTCTCTATTTTATTTTTCTCTATTGTTCAAATTCTCATATATAAATTCGTCTTTCATTATTTCATTGATAAAAACCTAATGGAGGAGTATTTGGCAACACAATTTTGGTAAAATAATTTATCTCATTTATTGTTGCTCTCTTCTTAAATTATACTTTAAAAATGATTTACAAATAGTAAAACTAATAAATTTTTGATTACCTGCTACTTTTTGTGTCTTATTGTTCCTTTAAGTATTGTTCAAAGATATATATAGAGCAGATCTACCCAATTTGAATGGACTGTATCTAATCGTAGATATAGTCCATCCAATTTGAATGGACTGTATCTAATCCCAGATACAGCCCATTCAAATTGGATAAGCCTGCTATCTTCCCTTGACCTTTTAATAAATTTATGTTCTTATTTTATTGACGGTGCTATTGCAGTGCTATTGTTGTACCACATTCTTTACTTTTTAATCTGTTTTCTCATTTAGTTGGCAATGCTATTGTCAACAAAAGAAATTCGTAAAAGTGAAAATGTACTATGCAGTACATTCCTAAATAGAAATCTAACAGAAACATCAATAAATATTAAATTTGGAATCAGATATTTCTAAGATTTCACTGTATTGTGTGTATTTAAAACAAAAAATACAAATATATTTTCTTTTAGAATTAGAAGAGATATCTTTTACAATTAGAAGAGGTTCTCCTTGAAAAAGAAGAGCCTTGAAGCTTTTTATCTTTTACGTTTTATAAACATTATAGAGATTAGTATATCAGGAAATAAATCTCGAATAAGTGTAAATAATTGTTTTTTAAGTGTTTGATATTTAAATTACACACTCACAAAGTACACACACATACACACAGTAAAAAAAAACACACATGCACACACACACAGTAAAAAAACTAAAACAACATCGTTTAACTATCAAAAATTCGAGTGATATATCTGTTTCAGATATTACGAACAATATTCATCGTTGTATTAATCATTGAGTTATGAGTACCAAATATTGTGAAGAGAAAAATATTTTATTCGCGTAAGGCCAATTAACCTTGCTTCAAGTAGTCGTAACTGTGATATACTGCCGTTACTAATAAAGCGTAGCCATATAACAACAGTTCGATCGCAAAAAGAGATGCTGTCAACGTAATTTACAATGAAACACAATTTCGCGAAACGTATATTCAGCACGACTGCGAATCATTACGGATGTACTTAACGTCGAAGTTTGCTCGGCAAACATTGTTTATAATAGCAGTACACGGCATTGATCAGACCGAATCCGTTATCGAGAAAGACGGCCGTCGACTCTAAATCTTTGTAGCGGGGCTTGAGGGGACTTGGTTGCGGAGATAAAAGAGAACTATATTAGCCGTAAACTCATCCGTCAGTGTCAAGACGTCAAAGAGTCGTCTTCAGGATATTAGCGGCGCCGCTACAGCAGACAGTTCACGCAGAGGCTATGCTTTGTCGACTGTCTTTATAGTTTTTCTTTTTTTTTTTTAGGAAGCTAAATAAGACGAAGAGTCTCGACATTGAACGAGACAAAAATCCTCTGAAGCAATTGATATAATTAAAAAAATATATATTTAAAAAACGGAAAATGCATGGAAAGCGCAGATAGTTTACGTCTAGAGAGTAAAGTAGAGAGTAAAGTTTTGTTGAAAATATGTTTATTAACAAATTTTTCGACATTTTTTATTTAATAATATTTATCATTGCTCAATCGATTTTTCAAATAATCCATTATACATTGAAGAAAGCGTTTGATAATATTGTATTTAACATTGAATGAAATAATTCCAATTAAATGTACGATTAATATAATGAAAAATAATTTTTCTAAATATTCATTATAATTATTGAATCAAATATATTTGACATTAGGTATTACTAGATTTTTTTCAATGCAATACAAAAAAAAACAAGGACTCTATTCTTTCAAGTTTTATTTTTACGATTACAAAAGTAAAAGTAAAGGCAGTTCTCTCTCTCTCTCTCTCTCTCTCTCTCTCTCTCTCTCTCTCTCTCTCTCCGTGAAAGCCAACAGTGCAATGCGTTTGCAGGGAAAATAATTTCTCGAAAGTAAAACCTGAAATATCGAGACGATCGCAGATTTCTGTTCACAGCTTATATTATAATGGTTAATGATACCGAGAGAATGGTTATAATGACTTCTAGTGTTAAATTACGGTCGACATACCTATATGCATTTCTCAGATACTGTTCGGTTGCATTCCTGGGCGAAGTGCTCCCCGGGGTAATTATTGTTTACCGCGGGTATGCGGTCTACGTAGCGGGCGTGTGGATATCGTCATAATTCGTCGTAATTACCTTGTAACATAGTTACTTCATCGATCGCTTTATCTTGCTTAAGCTGTACTTAACGGAATGGCCGTAATCGCCTAACCGCGGAGCGTTTGAGTTCCAACGAGGTCTGATAGTCAAGCTCTTTAATGGCTGTATCGCTCGTCAAGCGGACGGATATGATGCGTGCCTGGCGAGCGCGTAAACGCGTTACACGCGTGAGTGCACTGTTGAATTTCGCCGAATATATATTTCGCACGTTTTATTCTACGCAAATATATCCGGAGTGTCGCGACAATATTGCAACCGGAGCTTGTCGAAACGATGTAAAATATAAAAAAAGGATCATTCGTATCGATAAATAATACGCTATCGTGATTTCGCTTGAAATTATATGCGTCGAACAGATACACAACAGATACACTGGTGAAAATTTTTTCTCAGAATTCTTCACTCTAATTTTGCCAGTGCCTTCAAATTTTAAAATCTAAATTACAGAATTTTTCTATAATTTCGTAACTCTTAATATTTTTCAGATATTTTATATGGATTGGAATTTTTAAAAGTATCGCGAAAGTTTACATTTATTTACATTTATTCCAGAATTCCTCATTTTTTTATCATTCGGAAATGTTTAAAATTTTTTTTTTATTTCTCATTCTACAATTTCTGAACAAATTTATAAGATCTGAAAGAATTTATTTTTTTCGGAAATCTTTATATAAATTTAATATAACGAGTTCTTCAAAAATATCACGAGATATGAAAATGTTTTTTCACCAGAGACGTTTTCATTAAAAACAGATACAGAATCGTTATTTATCCATCCGGCGATTTGATAATCTAAGGTTTACGAAGAAATTTGTGTAACGAGTCTCGTGTAAAAAAAATATATATTTAAAACGCTACTTTACAGCCGAAGATCAGTCAAACTCATCAGCACATTGGCAGTGATAATTCGATATCGACGAATCTTAGGGGAATGGCGCGGCGGTCCACGATATAAAGAATGGCACGCAAACACCGAGAGATCGGTAGCCACGAGGCGTTAAGTACCGGATGACTCAGTGCGCACCGCGGTCGGGGCCGGGGCGATAATTAAAACGCTTTTACAAAACTGTAGGCAAACAGCGCTTAAGTGGCTGTCATTCGTTACCCCGTGGGGCCGCAGCAAGTCGGTAAGTCGCTGAGCGAGCAATCAATCACCCGACCCGTTCTCCCCTACCCCCGGCGGCCCATTACATTTCTATTTTGAAAGCTGCTTATTAAGCGGGGCCGGCTGGAGAGACAGACAGGTTTCACGGTATAAAATATCGGGTTGCCGTGGTGGCAGGAACGACGGTTCCGTGTCGTGGCAGCTATGGTAGCTCCAGTGCGGGAGGGTGGCGGGGGAAGCGACCATGGCATGGCGAGAGAGGGAGAGAGAGAGAGAGAGAGAGAGGGACAGAGTGACGAAGAAGGGGCTAGTAGAGAAGCAGGAGGGAGGGGAGGGAGGGGACGCCCTCGTCGGTCGGACGTGCGGGGAGGGGAATGGACGGCTGTAAAAGCGGTGAAATATCAAAGCCGGGATGGGAGCTGTCATCGTCGGGCCAACATCATGGGTGGCGTGTTGAATTAGAATGCCTTCCCACACCCCACGCAGCACCGCAATTCTCCCACCATAATGCCATCTCCCCTACCTCCGCTGTGCGTCCGAGCGCGAATGGTGGGGATGACAGGAGAGGACAGGTTATACACCCCGGGTCGTACGGGATAGGGGCAGTCAGGAGGGCAGGGGGAGGGATAGGGGAGGGGGGGGGACGTGCGAGAGTCTCTCTCGTTGCCGTCGCCAGACGGCGCGAGGATCGCATTCGCGTCGGAGCAGCAGTCGGAGCACAGAGTGGAGCTGCTCGAGTTGCGACCGTCATTATTTTCCTGGATTCCGTGGTGTACGCGTCGTCCACTTGCGCCAGGATACGTGGCCGTCGCGCGAGGTGATCGATTCCCGACGGAGGCGCAGTCTCGACACGTCTCCCGTGTCCGAATCGCGAATCGCTTTCGTTTGCTCCTTCACGTCGGTCGGACCCGACGCGATTCGCTGTTTTTCCGCCACGCATCTACCGTGTCTCTGTGTAAATAGCCATTTGTTTAAAAGTGTGCAGTGAGATCAATTAGTGGGAAACCAAATGGTTGTGCTCGAGGAAGGCAGTATGCTGACTACTGGACACAATCAGTATTTACAACCGGATTATCTTTCACCGCTTCCAACTTCGGTTAGTATTTCTTTGGTAATAAAATAGTATATTTTCTCTTTTTTTCAATTTTCATAGCTTTCTATTCTGTTGGTTTTTTTGTGCAAAAAGTAAAAGGTCGGGAAAAAAGATTCTCACGCGCTGACAAGAATAATTATTTATTAACTTTATTGACGTGCGACACAAAGAAAATAGAATAGCATACGTAAATCACAGACACAATAGGTGAAGAAACAGTTAGAAGGTCTCGATTAATGCTCTTTGGCATCATACCCTCTTCAAATTTTTTGACATCTTTTCAATTTTCTTGGTATTAGGCAGAATTAAATAAGGGAAAAGAAGACGTTGAAAATAGGGATTAATGTAAGAAGAAATAAAAATTCGAAAAAAAAAATAAAAGAATAAAAATTCAAAGTCACGATATTTTTTTCCCCATTATTTATTTATTCCCCCGCCAATAGAATCGTCTATTTGTGGTCCGACGGGATCAGAAGTAAAGAATAATTATCGTATGTTACTAACTTCCTAATCAGTACATGCTTCATTTTCTGTATAAATATGACAAACAGTGGATAACAGTGGTTTTTTTTTTTTTTGGTCGGACACAGGTACAGTTGGACGCGAAAAAGAGTCCGCTGGCACTGTTGGCACAGACATGCAGTCAAATCGGAGCGGATTCGCCTACGAAACCGCTGATCTCGCCTTTGGAAAAGAGCTCGAAGGGCATGAGCATCGCAACGAACGCGAAATCGCCGCCGGTCACGAAATTGGAGCGGAACACTCGCGGCAGTCCGACGGACGGCGGCAAGTCGTTGGCGTTCAAGCCGTACGAAGTCAACGTGGTAACGAAGAAGACCACGGACGAGGGTAGACCCACGTCCAAAGCCAGTGTACACAGTGTCAGTGGTCAGGATAGTGTCAGTGTGAGTGACAGCATGCATCCTGACAAGAAATCATCCGGCAATCGCACGCCGGTGAGCCGAAAGTCCGCGTCACCGAGCAGCCAAGCGACGGCAACGACGACCAGCGGCACACCGTCGGTCGATCGGAAGACCCCGGCGGCGGACCGCGAGAAGATCGATGGTTCACCACGGAGCAGTAGCAGTAGCAACAACAACAACAATAGCAGCAGCAGCAGCAGCAATAACAACAACAATGGCGCCAGTCCAATTATCAGATCTGGAATGGAGATCCTTTCCGGTGCGGCGCACACAAAGGACGCGAATCTAGCCGCTTACAAACCGGGTCTATCCGGGTTCACTGGCAATCCGCTGTGCTGTCCACCGGGCCTCGCCGAGAATCCGGCATTCAGGCCGCCCTTCGCGGGCGCGTCGCCCTTCTCGCATCACGCGGCGGCGCTGCTGTCCGTCGGCTATCCGTCGGCCGGCCCGACGGCCGGCGGCAATCCGTACTTGAGTTACGCCCGCGTCAAGACCCCCGCCGGCGGCGAGGCCCTGGTGCCGGTCTGCAAGGATCCTTTTTGCACCGGCTGCCAGTACAGTATGCACAGCGCGCAGATCATGATGAGCGCGGGTAGCTGTCCCAGCGGTTGCACGCAGTGCGATCATCAGAAGTACGGGCTGGCGATGGCGTTGTCGTCCCTGGGCGGCCCGATGCCACCGCCGTCGTTGTCCTATCCGTCCACGCTGGCGGCCGGGGGCCGGCCGTACGTCTGCAACTGGATCGCCGGCGAGTCGTACTGCGGCAAACGATTCGCCACGTCGGAGGAGCTGCTCCAGCATCTACGTAGCCACACGAGCCTGACCGGCGGCGACCACGCGGCCGCGGCCGCTTCCGCGGCGGCGCTCCTCGGTAATCCGCATCCGCACCCGCTGCTCTCGCCGTCGACCACCCTGCATCGCGCCAGCGGCGGTACCTACCCGGCGCCGTCGTTGAGCCCCCTCGGGGCGCGGTATCATCCGTACGGCAAGCCGCCGACGGGCCCGCTACCGGCGTCGCTCGCCGCCTCGCCGTACTCCGCTTTCAACGCCTTAGGACCGTATTACTCGCCGTACGCGGTTTACGGACAGCGAATCGGCGCCGCCGTACATCCCTAAGATGGATATATCCTGCGGGAGGGAAGATTGGGAGGGAAAAGATGGTAGGATCTTTTTCGAAAAGGGACTTCTTCTTCTCGTTCCCCCCCTCTGTCTCTCTGTTTCTCCGTCTCTTTTTTCCTTTTCGCAGTGTACAGTTGGTAAAAACAAATGTGCAAATCGACGGACGCGAGCTTGCCGCTCGAAAAAAACTGTTGTGTAAATAGCCAATGTGTATAATACAGATTTATTTAAAAAAATTCTATATATGTATATATAAATATAAATATATGTGTACATTGAAGATTATGATTAAAGTTTATGAAACAACTTGACAAGTGTTAACGTTGCATCGCGAGACCATTCTCTCGCGGAACTTCTATGATATCAGAGTAATACGCATCTCTATTAAAAATTACCGGTTACCATGTAGGGGGAAGGATTACATGCCAGCTAAGTAAGTTGATATTGTCGCAATTGCCGGACGGACGACAGGCAAAAGCCTCGCCTTCTCTATATCGCGGGATTTACAACAACTACGAGGCATTCCCGACAATGCTTCCGAATCGCGTGCCGTTAGAGTTTTTATTTTTTTTTTTTGCCGATTCCAACGGGACGCGTTCGTTTTACGTCATCGTCACGTTTTATAGGTGACGTACAACGTGTAACGTCTCGTTGTTCGGCGACGTACGGACGTATATGTTTGCGAAAATCGCTAAGTGCTACTGTATGTTTCCCGTCGCTCCGCAAACGCGAGCCTCTTGTGCTGAAATGAGCGTTCGATAGCGCGCGGCACCGTACGCGGTTAAGAACGGTTTTGTAGTCGAGTATCTATAAATTTAACTAGATGCGGATCTGAAGGTGGTTTTGTTGGATTATTAAAATAATTATAACTGTCAGCGTAATTAGAACGCTCAAGACGGTTGTTAGAACGTTAAAATTGTGACATTGCTCGTCGCGCTTGAACGTCCTAACTAATTATTTGGATAGTCCCGAACAAAATTATTTCCAGATCTGTATCTAGCTTAATTTTTAAGTACTTCGGCAAAAAACCGTTCTATTCGTGTACGGATCGTGTCGCGTGTAATTTTATGTCCACAATATAACTGTGATATTACGCTACTCTTTTGAGAGAAAACGAACAAATAAGAAATGGATATTATTAATGAACGTATCTGAGATATATCTCCGTAATAAATCACAATGTTGTAATTTATTATCGTTAGTTGTGTAAGGCAAATACTGAATGCCGTTGCAGAAAAACGAAAATAAAATTGATCTAGAGAATCTGTTTTATCATTTTTCTTTTCGAAATTCGGTAATCGCACTGGGATGATTTTGATTCAGGGTATTACCTCGGGAACGTATCGGATCGCGTATCGTCCAACATCAGATCATCGTCACACGTCGAATAGAATATTCTAATAAAAGCGAAGAATAACATGGTATACGATACGCGTCTTATCCGCATTATAAATACCTCTTGTAAATATCGTTGAGTTTCCATACCGCTTTAATAAAAACAATGTTTGTAGAATTATTTAAAACCTTTCTACTGTTATGTTTGTGCGTTTTACCATATTATTCTCTCGTTTAATCCAATTCCTTCCTTATGTTTGCGCTTTACGTGCCGTTTGTGCTTTTTGGCGTTTTACGATTACCGGTTTTTTTTTTGTTTTTTTTTTAATGTAAACTTCGCACGTTATTTTTCACAGAACTGATATTCACGTTTGGATTATCAAAATACGCAATTTTTTTCTCGGATTTTTCAATTTTAGCCCTCGCCCGTTTTTGTTCCCAAAATACACGCAATAAATATACGTTTAACTGCAAATATTATTGTGACATTTAACTGGAAACTCTCATATCGTGTTTCTTTTCTTCTTCTTTCGCTAAGAGATGTAAAAATCAGTCTGTCCGATTTCGCTGACCTGTTACGATCTCCGCTCGTCAGTCATGCTTGACAGACAATTTATCAAACGCACTTCACAATCTGTCACTGGCAACGAGGCGTAGTTTCTTACATGTCCAAACCTATTATTCGTTTACGTTAAAGCTTCGTAGATAAATTTGAGATACCTTTTACATACTTTATCGTACATCGTTTAGCACAATTATATCATATAAACAATTAAGATAATCATTCCCGACGAATCGCGGCTGTGTTTATCAACTTCGAAAACTTTGTTTTGTTCCTTCCAGATAATCTTTAGAAAATTCTGATTACATTCTTTCATTTATCGCTCACCTTTTCTCTTATCGTTAAACTAAACAATTCCGTAGCATTTTATTCAGGCACGAAATGATATCGTTATCAATCATTCCATCATGTTGTTAATCACTGTCAATAGTCATACTGATTATGAGTAATCTACTTATCATTGTATATCTTAATTATGCATCTTAAGGAAGTTAACGTCTTTCATACACACACACACACACATATCTTCATTTCCTTCCTTTGTACGAAATAATGGATAGCTCAATTATTAAGTTTGCCTTGGAGTGAATAACAAAATTAATCAACTACGTCTATAATTTGACGTGGCTAATCTGTCTACAAAATAAGATGAAAGATGTGAGAGACAAGTGAAAAATTCAATGCTTACAATAAATCACGATCCTTTTTTTTCGGCGTAATTACCAGACGTCACTTCCTTTGTTCGGAATTCTTTTTCTTTCCTTTGTCTCGCTCGTACACAAACACATCCGCTCTCTCGTCTGTTTTGCTTGTTATTACAGACACGTCGTGAAGTAAAATACACCACCGTCTTTGAGTTAGTAAAACTCTGGTGACTCAAAGACACCGGATCTGGTGACAAAAATCCTTAAATTGGCGATCCCACTCTCGGCTAACACACCGTCAGAATGCGGAGAGCCGCGTCCATGTGGCGCACACGAACGGCGAGTCCCAATCCCTAGGGCACCTCCAGAAGAGTAAATTTATTTCTTTCATTACGGACGGAGCGGGTCGTGAGCTCTCGGATATCAGCGCTGCAAGGCGGGGCGCATAAATCTGCAGCCTAGCGTAGGGAAGAGAGGGCGAGCGAAGAGGAAGAGACACAGAGCGAGAGGGATGTGGGTGGCAAACCGTAGGTTTCTAGAGCCGGTGGCTCTCTCTCTCTCTCTCTCTCTCTCTCTCTCTCTTTCTCGCTCTCTGTGTCGTAGGGGGTGTGAGAGCGAGTCGTGGAGAGAAGGTCCGCTTCATCCCTCCATCGTTTCCATCGCCGGGGTGCCGCGACAGGCGGTGGCAGGCTCAGCTGGCTCAGCAAAGTGAAATATTCGGTGATTTTAACCGTCGGGATGAATGGTCCCGCCCGTATTTCGCCTTTCATGGCGCCCTCCGTCGATTGGAATCCGTGTTATTTCGGCACGATTATGCGTGTCGCTGAATCTCAATTAGTAACTCGTCGGAGATGTAACCGAAAATCTTTATGCGCGCGTCTCGTTTTTAACTTGTTGGTTGTACTAGATAACGAATCGATGTTTCTTTATATATATATATATATGTATATATTTTTTTTTTTTTCCTTTCGTTTTGTGCAATAGTGCCAAGGACATGTTTATCTGAGTCTAAATGAGCAAGTGCTATAAATAGATTATCTTGAAATGCTTTTTAATTATTAACCGTACATATGGCTAATTAACATTTTTGTTGTATCGTCGTAATGATAATGTCATACTTTGTAAAATTCAAAGCACTTATGAAATATGGCTGCATGATGGATGACCTACGAGTTTACAAATAATTTAAAAATAAAATACTAGTTTCTCGGTATTTCAATATTTATATTATTGAAATAAAATTTACTTTTATTTTGTAATTTATAGGCAATAAAATGTAAATTATTGTGCAAGGCACTTGAAATATTATCATAAAGAATTCTAAAAGATAATGCTTGCGTGTTATAAAATGATGATAAATTTAATATGTTTGTCCTTTTTTTCTTTTTCGTTTTTAATTTATTACCTATTGATTTGGAAAAAGTCTCGTTTCCAAGAGTTCTCGAATTTTAGAAATAAACGTTCTTATAATTGATTGTAATAAATCTAGTTTAAAACATTTTTTGCAAGAACATAGTCTAGCATTTAATTTAATTTTCACGTCACTGCTTAACAAGTCCAACGGGTTAGCCTACTAATTAAAAATATATAGCTTAAAATATAGCTAAAGTGAAAAGGTTTGCCGTCGTGAAAGTTAAAATAACAAGCATGAATGAAGACGGCGAATGACGTATTGCTTGCAATTAGTGAACCTTTAATGTTTATGCCATGTCCCATAATTCATTTACGTCTATAAACCAGCGGAGTATATCAGTTCCAAGATTTGTGCTGACGCAATTAGAGGAAATAATGTCGCGCAGCTCGCGAATAAAACTTTCCGGGCGTCTACATATTTCATATTAATCGCTACACATTTCATTATAATTCTAACATTATTCATTTACGTTATTTCATTTCTCCGTACAAGCGCGTCGTTTTTACACCGTCGCCAGAGCGGACTGTTTCACTGTTCTTATTCAAGAAACGCGTCTTGTCTGTGTATCGTAATAACGTTCAGGTTGTAGGAAAATGAAAGAGAAAAGAAATAAAAAGAGATTTATATTTTACGTTTGGATTAACTGAGCGGGTCGCGCGGGTTTCGCCTCATATTAATTAAAACCTTCAAAGCCAAACGCGCCGCGTTGACGTTAACGTGATTTAACGCGAACCCGCGAGATTACATTACGAATAAACATGTCAATCAGCCGCTCAGACATTTTGTGGAAAATCAACGGCTGGCGCGTTTGGCAGCGCGGCTCTCGGCGTGTCTTTTCTGCGACGGACATGTGTCACGATCAGAACGTCGGAGTTACGCGGCTCCGTATGGCGCGTCTTAGCTGTCTCCTTAGAAGAGCCCTATCGAGTTCAAGGAGGAAAATTAGAGCATTCAAAGAACGTATTTAGCCGATGTTAATAGAGTCCAATCAGCGCTTCTTTCAGTAGCTCTTCCTATCGCCAGGAATATAGAACTTTTGCGAGTGTCCGATTTTCTTTCTCGCGAAAGCTTTCTCAGAAAGATTTCTTTCAGCTTCTAAAAATGTTGTTAGACTTCTAAAAAAAAAAAAAAAAAAAAGATATAATATCACTGTGTGTGCTTTTTCGTAACGTCTTTCCGATATCCTATTTAATCTTTTTTGCTAATGGAAATAAAAAAAAAGTACAGATAGAAGAAATACTGGATTGCCAATAACGACGGGTCGCCGACGATCAGTCGCTATTTTCGGAGTTTCCACTTTTGTTTTTCTTTCAGTTTAGCAACCACTCATGTTTTCGCATTGTAAATCGCAGCATCCACTTTTATTGTAATAAAATCAAAATGTTGATTGTTATTGCCAACTATTTTTTACATTTTGTCGTTAAAGTCGCTCGCGTTGAATATATTGTATATATATGTGTATATATATATATATATATA